AAAACAAAGATACTTCTATATATGGCATTTTTAAAATCGTTTTTATCGAAATCATCAAACGCAAAAAATAGTACAAAGCATATATTCTATTCGAACTTCTAATGGGAATTTTAATAATTAATAAATATATGAAAATGTATTTGCTGCCACCACCTGTTAGAATAATTTACATAGATAGATTATCAATGAATAAAATGTTCTAAATCATAGTAAATGCTTGTTTAATGATAACATGTATCTATTGAGAGATTTGAAAAAAATAGGACAGTATTTTTTTTTTATGAGCAAACTGATCAATTCCGTTGTAGATTTATTTTCGAATAGATATAAAAATATGAAGAAAATCATTCAATAGACTTTTTTTGTTTTTGTTAAATTTAATCTATAGGAATATTTAAAAATAATTTAGTTTATTAATAATTTATTTTAGAATGTTATGAAATATATTTTATACCAAATACATGTGGAAATCATTGGCTTAATGTTAGTCTTAATCATATACCAATATTTGATAATCCACATCGATTAATTGTACGATCATCTTCTTCTACAAAATCAATAATTGCTAGTGGACAAGGTCTATTCCATGCGTACACAGGTGAGCGCAGCTGCGATGGCCGAGTGGTTAAGGCGTTGGACTAGAAATCCAATGGGATCTTCCCGCGTAGGTTCGAATCCTACTCGTAGCGCTCGTTCTTTTTTTTTTGCTATTTCTTCGTTCTTCAGCCAAATAATAAGAATGAAAGGAAGGAAAAAAAAGAGAAGCACATGATAGAAAATCGATGTCTTTTACCTAGGCGAATCAAGTCAATTCTTCGTATCAAAATCACCAAATGATCCATCATCAGAAACAGGAACGTTTTCTGTTGGTATCAGTGGTCCATCGACTGTTTTTCTTGATGCTAATGAAACTGAACATGGTTACGAAGTAATTATTTCAATATTATCATCTATCAACAAATTCATCAGAATTTTTCTTTTTTATGCATTTTAGTTTCATTATAAACCAATGCGAAGTGGTAAATATATTATCACTATAAAAAATGGTGGAAAACATATTCAAGGCAGTCCATTTATATGTCGTGTTTATAGTTAGTTTAGTTTTGAAAGAAAATTTTTTCTTATTTAGATTTATAATACTTTATAGATAAACTCAATGAAGGTCGTACAATTTTATCAATAATGCATGAAAAAGACAATGATATTGGAAATGAAACAACAACAGCTACTACAACACAAACAACAACAACAACAACAACAAGTCGTAATTCATTAATACCTAATCAATCTGTTTTAAATCCTATTCGTTCATCAATAAGATCAACAACTCATGTTGATCTTGATATTCTTCGTTCATCAATGATAGGTGATGCATCACAAGTATGTGTTTTTGGAACAGGTCTTTATGAAACTAAACCACGACGAAAAACAACATTTAAAATTGATGCTAGTCAAGCAGGTTTCAATTAATAAAAAAAAAATCAAATTTTCTTTATTTTAACTATTTTTTTTTAATATTATATAGGTCCCGGTTTACTTTTAGTTGGTCTTTATTCTTCTTTTGGACCATGTGAACGTCTTGTTGTTAAACGTATAATGCCATCATCTCCATCTTATATTTACAAAGTATCTTATAGAGTTCAAGTACGCGGTCAATATATGTTAGTTATTCTTTATGGATCGAATATGCAACATGTGCCTGGAAGTCCTTATCTTGTTACTGTTGAATGAAAAAAAAAAAGAAACCTTTCAAATTTGTTTAATTATGTGATATGATCTGTGATTTTGACATTCATATTGTTCTATGTTTTCTTTTTTCATGTGTTATGTGTGATTCTTTCTTTCTTGAACGTATGTTTTGTTCGTTATTCTTTCAACTATTGTAGCAGTAAGTATATATATATGTATGTAGGTGTGTGTGTGTGTGTGTGCGTATAAATTACAAAAAAAAAGTTGATAAAGAATAAATGAAGAAATGAAGAAAACGAAACTGATTTGTTATGACAACAAACTAACAACAGTCATCAGGAAAGAGAAGAAAAAAAAAGAAAAAAAAACTTTAAGCTACTCTTGTTTGCGGTAGTCAAGTTAAATTCTCACTACTGTTGTGGTGAAGTTGTTAAACTTGAATAGAAGTAAATAACGAGAAATGTTTATGCCAATAAAGATGGTAAAAGATTACACTTAATAATAATCCTTTTTGAATTGATTCTTTTTCAACTGAATTCAATAATCTCATCTAGATTTAAACTAGATTTTATTGTTAACAATAAAAACAAAAAATATTCATAACTTTTCAACTTTTTTTTTTTCGATTATACAGAAAATATTTTCTCTAATATTTAAATACAATTTAGAAGAAAAATTCTTAAATTAAAATGAACGATCAAACATTTCGAAAAACTCCATTACCTCCAACAAGAGTAACTGGTAATCATATGTATACAAAATTACAGGTACATTATGGTGGTGATGTTCATGATTTAGTATTAAAAACAGAAAAAGAACCAACTTGTCAAGATCTTGGAAAAGCATTAGAAGATGCATTTCGTGTATCAATTAATGATCAATTGATATATTATCGTGGTCAACGTCTTCATCATCAACAATCATTATCAGATGATCGTCCACTATCACGATATGGAATTTTTCCAGGAAATTCAGTGACATTGATCGGAAAACGAGGCTTACTCTGACCAAATAAATATTTATTTCATTTGTTCTTTTTTTTTTCTAATAATTATTTGACAAAAAAAAACAAGATTGTTTTATCCTTTGTATGCGTGTTTTTGTGTGTATGTGTGTGTGTGTGGAATGAGATTTTTTTCAAGAAACGGAAGACAATAAAATCAAATAATCTATATTCAAATATTAAGTATGAAGTCGAGTCATTGATGATAGCGTATTGTTTGATGAACGAATAGGATTTGCTGTGGAAATTGGTGTTCTATCAATATTTAATAAATTCATTATGGACGGATCTGATTTGGCACCTAGAAATTTCAATATATTAATAATTTATATTTAGAAAATAAATTTTACCTTGAATAAATTCATCACGTGATAATTTTCCATCATGATCCATATCAAATGTATTAAAAATCTAGAAAAAAAATTCTTTAAAAAATTTTTTTAAAATTAAAACATTATTTTTACTTTATCCGTTCTTTTCTGTGCTGTCGATTCATCTTCAGGCAATTGCATAACTGAACCAACCATTTTATAAATTGACTAAAAATCTATTAAATGTTATTTTAATATTTATTTTTGTTAACTTACATCAACAATATTGAACATTTCATTTCTAGATATAAATCCATCACCATCAGTATCATAAAGACCAAATGTCCAATCAAGTTTTTCATCTAAAGTTCCTCTTGCTGTTATACTTAATGCAATAAGAAAATCTCCAAATGATATTTTATCATGATGATTTGTAGCAAAACGTCTAAAAACATATTCAGCAAAAGTTGAAGAATCACCAGCAGGAAAAAATTGTGCATAAATTTTTTTAAATTCATCAAGTGTTAATGATCCATTTGGACAATCTTTATGAAAACATTTATACCAATCTTCTACAAATATAGACAAAATTTTATTATTGTTTTTTCTAATATATATATATATATATACGAATTTCTGCATCGGTAAATGTTGTAGATTGACGAAAATATTCCAAATCGGTCGATCGAAGTTTAGCTACAGGTTTATTACCCATGAGTAATAAATTAACGTGATATCAAATGCATCTAAAAAAACAAGAACACTTGAAGTCAGCTGCATAGCAAAATATGTCAACTATCAACATGGCAGAGAAAATAAACCTTCAAGATTAATATTAAATAGAATGTACTGCACTCTGCTTTTCATTTCTCATTGGTTATTTAAATTATCCATTTAATATTCTTCTTTATTTTCTCTACGTCTTTTTTTTCTGTATATTATATATAGCCCCTTCCAAACAAACCAACCTACCTATCATATGCATTTGTTATTGTTTCACTTATTTCTTTGTGTTTTTTCGGCTAATATAAACTAACCATCCGTTCCATGATCATTTATTTTGAGAAGACGAATAACCAACAAGAGAACATTTTTTTTGGAACAACGAAAAATCAAATGTAAAAAATAACTTTTTTATCAAAATGAAATGTTTAAAAATCAAAAAACAAGATATTAAAGAATAACCATCGAAGTTTTATTCCCTATTTTTTTTTTTTATAGATTATAAAACAAATACCCGAATATGATGGCTGATAACAATAATAATCAACCTCGAACAACATTTGAATTACAATATTTGATAGAACAAGAAAAAACTAAACGTGAAGAAGAAAAAACTAAACGTAAACGACTCGAAGAAGAAACTAAACGTGAAAATAAAAAAATCGACGAAGAAACTAAACGTCAAAATAAAATAATCGAAGAAGAAACTACCCAAGAGATTCAATCCGACCTGTGGATCCTCCCGGAAATCGATCGGATCAGAAACGGATTGCATCGGAATCTGACGCCTTCCGTTAAAACCGATTGGATCCAATCGAGTTTGCGTCGGATTCCTTGCAACAGGATTCCGGACCGGATTACGTCGGAAAATATCCGTTCGTCGCATTCAAACGGATTTGAAATCCATCCGATAGAATCCGACCGAGCGGCTTTCCTTGGTTTGAATCTCTTGGGTGCCTTTCGGAGAAACCGAGATACCCAAGAGATTGAATCCGACTTGTGGATCTTACTGGCAACCATCGGATCCGAAACGGATTGCATCGGAGTCCGACGTCTTCCGTTAAAAACCGATCGGATCCGCTCCAGTTTGCGTCGGAATCCTGTGCCCAGGAATCCGGACTGGATTACGTCTGAAACGTCGGATTTGAAATCCATCCGACAGAATCCGACCGAGCGGCTTTGTCTTGGGTAAACGTCAAAATAAAATAATCGAAGAAGAAACTAAACGTAAAAATAAGGAAATCGAAGAAGAAGAAAAAACTAAACGCATAAAAATGCAACGTACACAATCATCATTAACGGATATATTATGGTCATCTCATAAAGATTTTTACGGTTATGTGGTAGATGGTAATCTATATAATTTTGAAATTGATTGGGTATCGTCAAATGATAATGATTATTTTAATGATAGAATAAAAAATTATATTAAAGATTATTTGAATGAACTTTCATCACTTAAAAGAGTCTATGAAACAGATCTTCAGAAAAACTTTAACGACTTAATAGCTAATTTATTAAATGCATATGATGATTCTACATTATTACAATATAAAAATACAGTTGGTTCGTCTTATTTAGAATCAAAATATTCTCCTGATTGTACATTTATTTTTAAAAATATCGATGTTAGTAATGAATGTTTACAAGATTTTGTTGTTTGTCTTGGTGAATTAAAATGTCCGGATCAGTCTATGACAGAGACAAAATGCATTGGTCAATTATTACAATATTTACGTATATTATTAAGAAAACAAGCCCGTCCAAAAATCTATGGTTTTCTGTTAAATTCTAAAGATATAAAATTTTATTATGTTGAACGAAGACAAAATTCTAGTGACTATAATTATTATCAAAGTAAAAGTTTCCAAATATATGATTCTTCATTTGAAAAATTGCCAATTAATAATAGACAAAAAATAACAACAAATGAAAAATCAAAAAAAAAATTTCATTATTGTGAAGATACATGGAAAATATTTACAAAATTTTTAATAATGAATATGAATTTTTATCGATATGAAACATTAAATATAGATCCATGTGATAATCAATTAAATAAATATTTGATTACAAATAGATTAGGATATGGGTTAACATCAAAAGTATATTTATTAAATGATAAAGAAAATAATAATGAAAATCAACAAACAAATAATAATAATAAAAGAAAACAAGAAAATAATACTAATGACATAAAAAGTCGTGTAATAAAAATTTCAAAAAACAATGGATATTCATCAGAATTTTTAAATGAATTAATGATAACAAAAAAATTAAAAGAAAAAGATATACATAAGTTTGAATCATTTTTTCAAGAAATTATATATTCGTCACCAACAGGTAACGATTTTCTTTATTATTTTCTTAAGATTTTCAATAGATTGAAAGATTATAAAGAATAAAATAAAATTTCTTTTGTTTTGAATAAAGAAAAAAAAAAGAAAAAGAGATTTTAGAAATGTTCAAATCTATTTATTTTATTTTATAGAAAATCTTTCATTAAAACTTAGAAAAAAAAATTAATTATTATAATAGACGACAGATAACGTTGAAGAATTTATTTTTGAAAAAAAATATGAGAAATAACAATACACGTTTTTTTTTGTTTTTTGTTAAATATTAAATGAATTGAACGAAAGAAAAAAAATCTGACAAAATTTTTATTATAAATAATCTATAATAGTTTGTTTTTTTTTATTTAGGTAATTATTTGATATTTAATAATGAATTACAAAAATTAGCATCATTATCATTAACTCAATCGGAAAATCTTATTGATATAATTGAATATTTATATGATTCTAATATTATTCATCGAGATATACGTCCAAATAATTTAATGTCGGATAAATCTGGTCAATATATAAAATTAATTGATTTTGGATTTGCTTTTACATTGGATATTAATGATAAATCAAAAGAATTACCAATAGCAGGTACAATAACATATGCTAGTTATGAATTTTTAAATTTTTGTTCAAAAATCGAACATAATACATTTTGGTCTCCATCTTATCGTTATGATAAAACATTTGATTTAAAATGTGTATTAACTATTATTATCTATATGATTAATGAGAATGTTCAAGCTAAATTAAATTCAATTGAAGAATTATTATCTACTAAAGAAAAGATACCAAGATTATTAGAATTATGGGAAAATGTTAAAAATAAAAATACAAAATATTCAAAGTTATTAAATACAATAAATAAATTAACTAAATCATCAGATTTTCAGACATTAAAAGATCAATTAAAAGAACTTTATAACAAAAAAATTCAATAAATATATTTCATGTCATTCATTTAAAACGATTAAAATAATTCTACTTCGTAATATTTAAATATGTATTCTTTATTTCGGTGTATTTTTTTTTCTCTTGTGGTTGTTATATAGCTGTGTTATATTGTTGATAAATAAAAAAAGAAAATTATTTCATTTATTGATAGGTATCATTATATTTTGTAAGTCTAATATAGAGATTCTAATCATAACATATTCAGATAAATTCAATACAGAATATGATTTACTATTCTCATGTTATTAGTTAATATATATGATGATATATGAAATATCTATTGTAAGTCTTTATAAAAAAAAATAAAGCTATTCTAATTTTCTTATTTATTTACTCATGTTGAATTTCATCAACATTAATCGACTAGTCTCATATCAACAAAAGTAATAAAAGAAATAAAATTCTTTTCAATAAAATAACTTAGGAAAAATTCACTTTTTTAGTTTTAAACATAAAATAGGAATGTTTTCTTTTTTAATATGATAACAATAGACGATTTAATCAATCTATTACACAATTTAAATTTAATCTTAAGTTCATATTATTTCTTGATAAGACACAACTTCCAGGCGTCGTAGTCGTCCTATATTTCCTATATGTTTGAAAATGGTCCTATAATATCCTATTTTTCAGACATTTTTCCTATATTTCTTATATATTCGAAAAAGCAAAAAAAAAATGCTTTTGAAAAGCTTTGCATTTGTCGGAAAAAGACAAACATGCTTCTTTATGTATAATTGGTTCTCTGAACAACAATATAAATAAAAGCTAGCGGCAATATATCCAAATTTTGCATTCTAACATAATATTTATTGGGATGCTTTATTCATTCTGTTCTGCAGATAGAGATGTAAACCGCGCCGGTGAAGATTCTTTGTTCTCTTCGACCACAATGACGGCTTGTCATCGGCTGTATACAAGTGAACAAAGGCTGTTGGCGGCGCGACTTACACCTCTATTTGCAGATTTTTATGAAAATGGCTTAGATATTGACGAACTCACACTGAATTTTATATTATATCATCTTACTAATGATTAATATGAGATGTAATACTTCTCTTCGCGAACGTATGCATTGTATGGCAGTATTTTGCGCTAAGATCGTCGTAAAGGTAGAAAATTAAAATATATTCGACGAAATCCTAAGCTTGATATTCTAAGATTTACAAATCACAGGACATTTTTCAAGTTTAGCTAGTAGTTTCATTTTCTGAAGCGTCATCTCGGCAAAAGAGGTTCCAGAATTAGTTCTTTTTCGAGATAGAACTAAAAACAGTGAAGAAAATAGACGCTCGTGTCTTTCAGTCAGTCACCTTTCACATTACAGCTATGAGAGGACAACTGATGCTAGCCATTACTAGTAGAGAAGATTCAACGATCAATGCACTATATGCTCATGGAGAAAGCATTGATAATGATTAAAAAAACATATCATAGTAATTATGTTTGTTACGTCTACTATTTATTATATTGCTGTTTCTAAACATTTAACTAAAATGAAAACTTTTTTTTGCAATATCGATAGCAAAACAAACAGTCACACTACTGCGTTGTTTTTGCGAGAGATTTTTTCCAGTCTTATAATTAAAACATTGTCGAGTGTCAAGCGAGGTTTATTAGAAATTCCGCACCTGAAAGTTACAAATGCTCCATACCGAAATTCGCATTCCTAATTTTGTTAGAAGCTCATTCAATTTTTTATAATAAAATAAGAAATTGTTTGTTGAAGAACAAGAAAAAGACAAAAAAGGACAGTTAAGTTAATGATTTCTGTCGATTAAAAAATACATCTCACCTTATGATTATTGTTCATATTTATGTATATGTTGATTAGAAAATTCTTACGTCTGTCACATGAGAATGGTAAAAACAACCAGATAATTCAAGCTGAAAAACCCAATATGCACCTATTTTTCTTCTTTGTTAACTTTCTTATTTTAATTCATTAATCGGTAATAACTTGAGAATAAGTAATATAGCTTTAACGGCAGCAAAAAATCTAACCATATTTCTTTATTTATTAATAGTTTACAGTAAATAAGTCACATCATAAGTAGAGGTATTCTAGTATTTTTTGTATTTGTCAAATTCACACGAATGTTCTTGAGTATGGTGTCATTTTTTTTCTCTCTAACTATATATTGTCAATTTTCTGTCGAAATTCTCTTGTCTTGATAATGTTATAGATATAGCGAAACATGTGGACTTATTTACTGTAAACTATTAATAAATAAAGAGATATGGTTAGAGTTTTTTGTTGCTGTTAAAGCTATATTATTTTTTCCTATTTTAACTTATTTTATAAAAATGTGCATACGTGTTAATAATCGCTTGTCAATAAATCCAACAGAAACCATCACTTTATTTTAACTTTTCAGACAAAAAAGTTTTATCCTTTTTTGCGACAAGTCGAGCTTACATTCATAG